ATAGGCACCACCCTAATTTTTGGTGTCATGGGCAACATAACCATCTATATATTGGTATAACACATCAACTTATGGTATAATCACCACCATAATTTTAGGTGTCATTTGCAACATAACCATCTATATATTGGTATGACATGTCAACTCTTATAGTAGAGCGACTATCCTACCTTCAGGTGGCAAAGTTGTATGTGCAATAGAAACATCTGTGTATTGGTAATGGTACAGCCACTGTTCTGTGTTCAAGTGGCAGCATGTGAACAAAAACATTTATGTACTGATATGGCATGTCAACTCTGTGGTAGAGCCACTGTCCTATTTTCAGGTGGCAAGAGAGACATGCCTAACATAAACAGACCAAACAGTGAATTGGCAATGTATTTAAAAGAAAGTGGATGTTATTTTTGAAAGATAAGAATAATTAAACTATGACACAGAAATCATCCACACAAATAAATTTCCAAGGAATCAAGTCTACACTTGTATAAGTACGGAACTACTATTTTACTAATTGAATAGATGCTGTTGTTTTGTTAAACATATACTAACAACAAAATCTGGAAACAGAATTTAGTGTTTTAAAAATATCTTAATTTCATTATGGCAACAAAAAGTTTTATTAAATGCTCATGCATTGAAATGGATTGTTACTATGGTATAACTACTATCTCTTATTATGGAAAATTCAATGTCTAGCTTTAACTTTTTAAGAGTTTTAATCTTATTATAAACACTTTTTTAAATACTTCTCACACCAACAGTGAATTTCATATAAGGTGGAATGATTGTCATCATTTAAGATATATAAACATTTAGTTCAAGTTATCAAATTACTTCAGTAAAACATGACTAGACTTGGAAGCCTATACAAAGTGGCTCCAGAAAGCATTGGCATAGCAAGGGCTGGGTCTAGCCAGGCAAATGAATTCTCAACCTATAAAGAAACTAAAGCTTGCAGTGTAACTTATTACAGTTGGGGTGGTGCAAAATTTGAAGAGAGAGAGAGAGAGAGAAATAAAAAAAGACCAATTTGTTGATAGAATTACTCATTAGTACATAATTTAGCTTGTAAGATTAACTCCGTGTGTGTAGAATAGGTAATCTGGATAGCTATTAATAAAATTCTACATGTTTACATACAAAGGTACCAGCCCAAAGTGTTGTCTGCAATGCAAGCATGTCCTTCTGGCTCATGGACAACTATAAAGACCTGTCTATACCATTGCCACAAAGTGTTGTGGATTGAAACAAAGCCCAATGCAATTTGGGGGGAGGGGAGGGAGAATTTCAGTGTTGTTAGCACTAAGTTATCACATAAACTTGTCAGAAATTACAGGATGCTGTGCTTGTGCCAACAAAATTTTATTATCATGCAGTTTCCATGAAAATGTTATAAATAAACTATTGCAACAATAACATAGCTCTCTTGGGTTCAAACAGAATTCACCTAGTACAATGGAATTTTGATCAAAATATCAAAAAAGATTATGACCAGTAAACAGAAATATCCTAGGTCATTAGACATGTTATGCTAAAATACCTTTACAACTCATGCCATTATGTAGGTAGATCTTCGGTGTTAACTCACTACAAAATGTTTACAAGTTCCTTATTATAGTGCTAAAAAAAATGTGCAATTAGTTGAATTGATTGTCCAATTGACTGACTGTTTTCCTATGTCATTTGACGAATGAAATAAAATTCCACAAAGTACACTTTTAAATCATAAAGAAGAGAGTTTCACAATGCATTAATTTGTTTCTATGTTTCTTGATCATACAATACTGTCCGAGATTTGCTTCAAAACTTTTAACATGTGATAATGAACATAGGAGAAAAAGTTGATTTCCATTGACGGTCCAAGTATTAATTTAAAGTTCCATGACTCTATAAATTAAGAGACAAGACAAGCTCCTGATCTACCTAGTCTTCTAAACACTGATATTTAGAGACTGCACATAGTCCACAATATTCTACAATGAGGATATCAGGTAAAAGATGGAGCACTGATGACATCATGAGTAGCTCATAGCAGGTGTTTCATGACACTCAAATAAAGAGAATACTAATGTCAAATCCCAGACTATTCCACATTTCCAATTAAATTATGTGCACACCTATGGCTATCTGGAAGGCTCAACAGTATTTAGCTTTTAAACATAGTGAATTATGGTCAAAGCTTTGAAGGGTAACCAAAGCCATAAACTCTTGTCAACAAGTAATTTCAAACTCTCAAGAGTTACAACAATAGTTCTTCTGACTGTTGCAGAATTCCAGTTCTTCACATCATTAACTAAATAACTACAAGTTTTCTAGGTAAACATTTCAAACTGATTCACCCATGACCCCTTTCCTTACTGAAGAAATGTCCAGCATCATCTTGAACTTTGTGGCAAACTTCATTACAAAAGAGAAACTGAACAATGCGGATGATTCTTCAAGATCATCACAAATGAACCCAAAAGACAAAGAAAACTGCTTGTAAATACAGAAGGTTGACATTGGATATAAAGCTCATCATAGCTTCCATGAAGCTGTGGATTTCAAGAAATCCTCAATTACAATTCTCTCCTAATTAGATGACTAACTGCTTCCATGGGAACCCTGTAACTACAATGTAATCAAGAGGGTACAAAGTCTGCATCCAAGAAATACAATTGAGGATGTGAACAATGCTAATATTCAGTTAGAAAAAAACTTCCCTAGGAAAAATTCTGGCAGATATTGCAAAATAAATGTTAAGGAATGTGAATGTTGCTCATCAAAGATACAAACAAAACTAGGAAGATAAACGAAGAGAAAATACCAAATAGGAAATGTGAAAAAAAAGGGGCTGCTTAACAAAAAAGAGGCAATGGAGAAGAATAAGGAATAAAAAAACAACAACATCGAAACTGTGGCTTCCTTGAAAAAAGATTTTGGAAACTTAAAAACATTTTAAAACAAATGTGGATTTTGTTGTTGCTTGTTCAGTAAAATGCACTGCAAGCAACAACAAGAAAAAAACTTGGAGAATGCAAGAAGTTAGATGAAAACCCTGGAGTTCTTAAGGAAAAACTCAAAAAAACTGATAGGTCAGTTTTATGATTTATCAGTTTTTCTCATTGCTGATCACAGTTGTATAAACCATTTTAAAAGTTATTACTGTTTTATAAAAATATAGAAATACAACTTTTTTTATTAACATAAGGTACAAAAGTAGCAAAGAATAATGCTGCTGATCAAATGACCCATAAAATAAAGCTTAAAGATTGTTCTTGTTTTGTAACAGACAGAAATAATTACTGATATTTGTTTATGTTATTATTATTACCGGGTCGTCCAATACCCAGCTGGGGCCGAATATCTGGCCGGGTACCCATGCATCCCTAATATTAACATATAACAAAATCTGTAAAAATGAATGTTGTTGCCAGTAAAACAAATATTTAATTTAACGTGAGATTCAAAACTCATGGACATAAATTATATTGGTCACATAGAGCACTGTTAATTTAGAAAAATATACAAGTTTTATAAAAGACAGCAATACTTTTTTTTTTAATTCGGTGTTATTATTAGACACACAAAATCTTAAAAAAAAAACCACTGTTGGTCAAATAATCATTTTAAAGTTGAAACAACATACATGGGTGAAACAGTTCCACAATGGGCATGGAAATCTGTACTGGCAATTTTGGCCAGAAAGGATTCAATAAGGAAAGTCTCACAAAAAGACTAATTTGTTTATTTGACATTTTTTTTTGTTGTTGTTTCCTTTCATACTCAATTAAATTTTTTAACACACTTGAATGCCTCTACCAGGATTTATTCCACAAGCCTACTATTGGTGATGATTGCAAGTGTTGGCAAGGGTGGAAGTCTGTTTAGCACTGGCAAAATTTTCTGCTCCCACCAATGAAAAATGAATGTGTCTGTTATTAAAGGACAAAAAAATAAAATAAATTTTATTTTTTCTTAAACATTGCAATTCAGATTTTAAAATATTTTTATTAATCATCAAAATAATAAAGCTAAATATCTTCTAAATCTGCAATGGAAGAATGGCAGATTGCGAAAGGTGGTTTTGAGGTTGGAAATAAAATTATCAATGATAATATCATATTGTGCAAATGCTTGATGTTATTTTTTAAATAGGGACCTTGAAAAATCTTAAGTATACTAGAATTTTGTAGGAAAGCTAATATATAAACAAGATATTTTTTTCCCAAAGAGTAAACTATTAGTTTATGTAATATGCACTTCTCAAACAGAACTAAATGACAAAATTTCTAAATATAACTGCCACTTTAAAGACTTTTGAATGACAATGTTAACATCAAAGTTGGATGTTTAACTCAGTTACCTTTGAACATTGATTAGTGTTACATAAAATAATCAATTAATTGAAATTACAATTAAATTGATTAATGTCAGTAAAATAATTAATTAATTGAAATTACAATTAAATTGATTAATGTCAGTAAAATAATTAATTAAAAGAATTATAATTACATCGATTAATGTCAATAAAATAATCAATTAACTGAAATTATAATTAAATCGATTAATGTCAATAAAATAATCAATTAACTGAAATTATAATTAAATCGATTAATGTCAATAAAATAATCAATTAACTGAAATTATAATTAAATCGATTAAGGTCACTAAAATAATCAATTTATCGAAATTAGTGTTTCAGACTATTAGTGTCTTCAATTATTCCAATTAACCACATAATGGAAATGTTGCCATTATAATTTCCCATTGTCATTTTCAATTATTTCAAGGCTTTTCAGATTAATTAATTAGTGTCATAACTTGCAAAAATATTCATCTAATCAAAATTAGTTTCTGATTATTACTATTCATTAATATTCATTCAAATCCAAGTCTCGTAAGGATAATTGATTAGTTGAAAGCAATCAATTAATGAACTTGATTATTAATAAAGTAGCAAACTCCATTTGTCACCCAGCTCTAGTTAACATAAAAATAGGGCTATCAACACATCCAGATAAATTCAGCATACCTCTTTTATTCTAACATCCAACTGTAAAACAACCCATTCATTTATGTGTGTGTGTACAAACAATATACTGTTAATCTTAAAAAAAACTGTGTGTTTTGGGAACAGGCTCACAGTGGAAAATAGGCTAGTATTCAATTTGATAGTTTTTGATTAATTATTTTTTTGTAACAGCCAACCTTAACTTCACACTGGATTTCATTCTACTGTATACTAAAACATCCAAATTTCATAAAATTCATAATATATATATATATATATATATATGTATATATGTATAAGCATTCACTAGTCAGTATTATCATCCAAAACAAAACAATATGTTAATTTGTGACACTTATGAATATTTGCAAAGATATATTTCTTACACTAAATTCTCAATACTTCTATCAGGCAACTTGAGACATAATATTATTTTGCAAATATAGTGAAAAGCAATGTTAATAATAAGGAAATTTTCACTGAAAGAAAACAAGATGCATCTATTTTACAGTGAACATCTATGAAATATCTATAACTAGGAAAATAGACTATACAATTTAAAGTGTAGCAGTTTCTAACCCTCCACCTCCAAGAAATAGTTTGCAAACCCTGCAATCACATGTGTAAAGGCTGTACAAAATATGACAGCAGAGAAAGAAATGTGCCTTATTATATACAAAGTTCATCAAATGAAAAACAACATCAAGCCTGTAGAAACCACAAGTAGTGTCCAAACTTTAATAACTATAGCGTAACAAGCTGATCGCAAGAAAAACTAGGGTTCTGTGATAATAATGAAGTGCAACTAATTATTACAAAGTTATACAAAGAATGTGCTAAAAGTCAGTATTTCATGTCATAACATCACCACATTATAAACACTTAAACAAGTTTCATAATTATGAAACACAGATAATTCTAACATTGTCAGACAATCTGAGCAAGTTAGAAATCTGTAATTATTTATACAAATAAGCAGATCTTCCAATTAATTCTCTGTTATTATGAATTATAGCTAATTCTAACATTGCCAGATGATCATAATTTAAGCTAGGTTTCTCTAATTATGTATACATTTACTTAATATCAACAAATAAGCAGATCTTCCAATTAATTCTCTGTTATTATGAATTATAGCTAATTCTAACATTGCCAGATGATCATAATTTAAGCTAGGTTTCTCTAATTATGTATACATGTACTTAACATCAACAAATAAACAGATCTTCCAATTAATGCTTTGTTATTATGAATTATAGCTAATTCTAACATTGCCAGATGATCATAATTTAAGCTAGGTTTCTCTAATTATGTATACATTTACTTAACATCAACAAATAACCAGAGCCTCTGCTAAATTTCTGTCATATGAAACATAACATCATGATCACATTTTAATCTGGAAATTTGCAATTAAGAAACACAATTATTTGCAACATTACTAAATAACAAATCTTAGGTTAGGTTTCTGTATTTTGTAACTCAGATTTGGTTAGTTTAAATACTAACCAACAAGTTTAATTTAAAACAATGAGAAATGGCTAAACTAAGGCAAAATGTCTGTTACAATAAAAATAATGCCCCTTGCTGGCCACAGCTCAAAAACAGGTCTATTATAACAAAACTAGTTAATTTGTAATTAAATTTTTTTTTATATAAAACTAAATTTGCTTATTGTTGCCTAGGCATGTTTCTAAGCTTAAGGATATGCAAAATTGATCATTTAATAACTTTTGACTGTATGCACTTAGTATATATATAAAACTAGCACCAATATGTGAAAAGTGGAATATGGTTTCATAAAATTTATGGACAGAATTGTTAAATTAGTTTCAAAATATTTGGTCTAGCTGAGACAAAAAAAGGAAAAATAAAATACAAGTTCAGGTGCACAAAATAACACAAGCCTGACATTTCAATGACAACTGTTTTAATGGTTCTGAATTAAAAAAATCTTGTAATTATATCTCTGAGAACAAATACGTATTCCAACACACAAAGTTTACTACATTTACATTTCTTTCACGTTTGCACAATTTTGACGAAACAGTGTCATATCTCTAAAGAAAAAAAAAGTTAACACTGAAGGACAAGAAATATTTATTATAAAGAAATTTCTTAATTTCTTTCTGACACAAAGTGAAAATTTTAAATCTCTACATATTTCACAAGTTATAAAACAGACCTCAAAGAACCAATAACAACAAAAAAAAAAAAAAACTACACTATTTTTGATGATAAAAAAAACTACAGTCCATTCAATTAAACTTACAAAGAACCTACATTTCTTGTTATGTACTTTTATAATTCACTGTTTATAGTTAGTATGTGTACGTTTCACAAAACATTAGTTTCGATATTTTATATGTAAATTTTTACCTCATATTACAAGTTAGCCACAAAATAATGAACACGTAAAAAATGTTGTGTTTGATATAGTTTAACTGCTTTTTGGATTATTTGAAGAACAAATTAACCACAAAATATTTTTTCACAAAGTAAAAATTGTATCAATCCACTGCTGATATTGGAAAACTAGTTTTTTTTTCATTTACTTTTTCTACATCTGCACTTCAAATGCTTTCACTTGATTCTTTGCAAATGGGTTACAAGATTTATTTCCATTATCTAAGGCAGCCCATCCAGCATCAAATGGGTCCTTGAAAGCAGGTTCTGATGTTGGAGCAGGCTGAACAACACTGCCATTAGGCCAAAGATTCGAAGGTTGAGGTTGGCTTACTTTGACTAAACGTGCATCTTGTGATATTTTTGAGCTATTTTGAACTTGTGGTCCAAACACTTCAGCTGAACCAAGAGACTGGCTTCGTAAGTGTGAATAATTTGGACTACTCCGACGTGGAGGTACAACTGGTTGTGGGAATACAGGTGTTGGAGAACCATTTTTTTCTCCAGTAAATACGTCAGAAGAATTGGTTGTATTTTTAACATGGCTAGATGAGGAGGACTGTGACCTCATATTACAAGACCCTTCATTAATTTGTAGTGTTGCTGGATTTTTATTTAACCATGACTCTGCCTGTGATGATGTCACTTTTCCATTACTTTCATATGGATTTCCTACAAGATACAAAATCAAATATATATAGTTAACCAAATTCATTTTCTCACTGCAATATAAACAACCTGTATATAACCAAGATTTGTATTTTGTATTAAACATCAAGCAGTTATGCTTTACTGATTCCAATGGAAGTTTCAGTTTTGTTAAACGTTCATTTCAAAAGTGTGACAAAAATACCATCTTTAACAGAAATATTCTTATATCTTGAATTGTACTTTTTTAGAAATATACTTTTTACAACTTCTTTTGTGTCAGGTCAAAAGTATTTAACAAATAGCTTAATGGGATGTTCAAATTGAGCTAAGGCAGTTAACTTGTCTAAATTGTTTCTTATAGATATATATATATACGTATACGTCATTAACCTTTGCTAGGGCAGTTGAGGCAAGTTCACACTGGCCACTTAAAAACTATTTAAAAAAAATGATAATCTTAGCAATAATCTTGTATTATTTTAATAAAAATAGCCACAATATGATTCACACAGTTTTATAACAGTAGCTGTGTCTTTACAATTTGGACTGAGTTTGCAAATATGAAAATTATTAATCAGTTACACTAACAATTATGTACGACTAACCAACCTCACAGTGAGTCAAGTACAATGTAATTACTACGACTAACCAACCTCACAGTGAGTCAAGTACAATGTAATTACTACGACTAACCAACCTCACAGTGAGTCAAGTACAATGTAATTATCTACGACTAACCAACCTCACAGTGAGTCAAGTACAATGTAATTATCTACGACTAACCAACCTCACAGTGAGTCAGTACAATGTAATTACTCAAGCAAATGACCTGAGAAACAAAAAAATCTTGCTCTGCACTTTGGAGTCATGGATGTGTTATAAAAGAGATGGTCAAATACCATTATTCGATCTTACAACAGAAGAACAAGAGCTAGTGGTGAGTAATGTTGACTAGCTGCTTTCCCTCTAGTGTGTCACTAAAATTAGGGACAGCTAGTACACATTTCCCTTTAGTAGCTTTGTACGAGTTCAAAAAATACTTTTACAGCCTACTCCTTTTCTTTGTCAAGCAGCTTAAAACGTTTTCAATATATTTAATAAGCTAAAGACGTTATTAATCCATTGAAAAGTCAGGGGCTGAAAATAAGAATACTGGTTAAAAATAAATACTCCCCCCCAAAAACAACAACAAACAAACACATTTTGATTAGTCAATAATTATGTACTAGGAAGAGAAATTTTGTTAAGTCTCCTCTGAATGCTACTTTTCCAGGAGCAATACACATGTTAATCATTCAGATAACACCCTTTTAATGTCTTATGAAAACCTAACTTTAAAAGACAAGATCATCCTGGACTGTTGAAAAACCCATTAAAACAGGAAAAAAGCAAAGTTTTCATCTGTGTAGTTTCAGATAAAATAGTTGACTGAGAACTACTAGTTTTACACATAATACTAAATATATAACTTAGTGTTAATGAAATAGAGTAGATTATGTTAATTTTTTTGTTTTTCTTGATAAAGATTTCTATATCTGACATAGAACAATAAAACTCTATATAAAATATGTGAAAAATGCTATATTTTGATTCATAAAGCCTAAAGCAAACAGTAGTGTAATACAACTAGTACTCTGGTTGCACATGGAGAAAAAACAAAATCAGTCTAATTTAAAACATGTAGGACACACCTGATGGCTGCTGAAAAGGCTGACTGGTAGGTTGGGCATCAAAAGTAGAGTGAAAGGGATTGCCTTCTTCTGTAAGAAAGGACAACCCTTTGGAAACTTGCTGACACATGGCACTAACTGATTCATCTGTCTCTGAACCAGAAGGTATTTCTGGTATTGTAGCAACTAAAAAGGAAAAAAAATAAACACAGAAAAACTAGAATTCTGTTGTCTTAGTTACAAAAATATTTTTACCTAAAAATATTAAACTTAGAATAAAAAAAAGAAGCATAAACTTCTACACAGACAATGTTCTGAAATCTGGTTGTGAACACAGTAAACTCCATCATTCATGAGAAAAAAAAATCTCTGAAAGATTATTACACTCTCAAATATTAATATGCAATCTAACAATTGGGCCACCACAAACATACAAGAAAACATAAATACAAAATAAGAAATCTGACAGTACAAGTGTTTTAAGAAAACAGGCTTTTATTCTTTGGGGTAAATTGGGAAAGAAAAGGAAGTGTAAAGTGTGAAACTTAGATGTCACAGATATCTATAGTTGCTCACCGTGATAACACATGAGCATTTAGGAAAGAAAAGGAAGTGTAAAGTGTGAAAGTTAGATATCACATGTATCTATAGCTGCTCACCGTGATAACACATGAGCATTTAGGAAAGAAAAGGAAGTGTAAAGTGTGAAATTTAGATATCACAAGTATCTATAGCTGCTCACCATGATAACACATGAGCATTTAAGTATTAAGTAACTGAACTTTTGTGTATGTCAATTTTTCGTTCTAGTTTCAGACTTACTTCACTAATATTTAACATGTTTGTTAAGTTTCACTAGGCTGTCTGTGTTGCACCATGGGGATCAAACCCCATTAAAAGCCAGCATGCTTACCTCTGAGACACGAGGGGATGATATAATAACAAAGGCCTGCAATGGCGTTATTGTCTTGAAATTTTTACATATTCTACAGTAATTCCTGTATGCTGAATTCGAAAATGATATCCATTTTTCTCCATCACGTACAGATTTGTCAAAGATGTTATATGTACTTTTGCATAAGTGAATCATTTTCATTAAAATCATGTCACATTTTGTTATTCTTAAAATGTTGACAACCACTGGCTATATATTTCTCTAAACCAATTGTGACGTGAGAGCCTTATTGATTGTTCTAGAACCCAAACATAATAATAAAAAATTATCATTGTGGTAAATGAAATAATAATTTGATCTAAGTAAAAGTTTTTTTTTTATTCTCAATTTATAAAAAAAATCCTTACGTGATAGAAATAAAGGAATCGTATTTTCAAAATCCACGCAGCTGAATTATGGAAAATCCGTTATTAAAACCAAAACAACTTTTATGAAGTTTAAATTCGCAGGACTTTGTAATCAATGAATTAACAGTAAAAACAAGAAATTCAGTACCTCAGCAAAAAACAATCCAGTTTTTGTATTTACGCTAAAGGAATGAGCTAATGTTTTGATTTTCTAAAAATTACAAAACAGGAATAAAATTTGAGAATATTACTACAGAACATAAAACAACAAAGAAGCCTACTAATCAATACGTAAATCCCCTTGACAATAGCATTCTACAATAACTGTAAGTGATAATTTGTGCCACTCACCTAAATACCATTAAAGCAAGACTCAAGTGAAATAATGCTGCAAGATAGA